TGAGTACGGAAGCTTAAATAATTATCCATGTTAGCCCTTTACTGAGTTAATTTATCGTTGAAACAGAGAGACACACTGTACATTGGGAAACACTGATTTTAAAGATAAATTATACCCGAAACACAGATTTCAACGATAACGTTTTGTGGAAACACTTATTTCAACGATAATATATCACTGAAATGCAGAATTCAAAGATAACGCAGGCCTATCTTGGAAATATGGCATTATACATGAAACTCAACGACAGGGCAACTCGGAAATCCGGAAATCAATGATGCATCTTTAATGCCATATCTCAGAAACCGAGAATTCAACGATCATGACGTATATAAATTATTTCTAACGGAGGTACGGGCATCCATCCTTCGTGTTATGCAAATGGTTCAAGTCAGAATGGAAACAAGCTGATTAGCAGTAAGTCTGCACAAGGCCTAGGCCGTTTCCAGACCCACAGTTTTAGAGGGGGGGGCAAAACCGGTGAGTAGCTTCCCTGGTGCACTTTTGCATCGACTAATCGCCCCGGCCACAATGTGAACTATATGAAGCAGCAGCTTAGACACAATTTCCAGAGCAAAATGGCTCTGCCGGTATAAACAATCATCCTCCATTTAAGACACTTAATATCTTCACTTTGATTAAAAAAACCTCATTTTGGGGGGACCCCCCCCCATATCTGCGCTTGGGTCTGAAACCTGCTGGTGTGACACCTTTTTTAGGAGCCACCCTACAATGGCTTCGCGCCGTGGGTGTATAGGCCTATATCGAGTATCGTCTGAATGTTAATCATTGCGAGATTCGAAAAAAGATGCATAATCTTTGAACTCTGAGTGTAATCATCACTAACTTCCGGATTTCCAAAATACATTATTGTTGAATTCCACGTGTCCACGTGTGCATTTCAGAGATATCTTATCATTGAAATCAATGTGTCCACAAAGAGTTATCGTTAAGTTCCGTGTTTCGGGGATAATTTCACAATTTTGAAATCAGTGGAATCCAGTGTATGTCTCTCTGTTTCAACGATAAATTAACTCAGTAATGCGGTAACACGGATGGTCATTTAAGCCTCCGTAGGTCAGGCATTTGAACGTACAACACATCTTCATCATAACAGACAACACACACAAGAAAACCAGAGAGAGGTGCTAAAATATTTCAGTCTTTCTGTCAACTTCAGAACGCAGATCCCTACAGGAAAACAAAAATTTAACACTGTTTCAATTGACTTATCAATATCTGCAAAATTACGACTCGATTTTTTCCCAACATGAGGACAGGGGTGCTTTTCGGACAGGAACAGGGCGCCCTCTTTCGAACGCTCCAGGAAGATCGAGCAAAGTTTGCACGCTGAGTCCTCACACGAAATCCCGCACCATCACGTGAGACGATACACCTCCTTCATGAGCGGACTAGGCTGGACGGGCAGCTGGCCGTCGAACATGGATATGATGGATTTCATCTTGTTGATCTGCTCCGGCATCACGTTCCGTAGCAGCGTCAGCAGGTTGAGACAGCGGGCTAGGATGTTGCGCTTGTGAGGGTGGTTCCGGGCCAGCTCCACGGCCAGGGCCTTGACCAGCTTGTGCTGGAACCGCTCCACAGCCTCGGTGTCGGTCAGCTCTTCACGGTCTATTCGTTGGCAGTTTCCATTTAGAGTCGAAAAAGGAATTTTAGAGAAAAAAATGAGACCAATATAAAGTTGCAGAAGAGGCCAAAACCCGTGCGGTATTCGTCTACAGATATGGGCCGCACGGCCCAAACCCTGTGGACTGATCACCCACTCACAGCGGCCAAATATGAAGGTTAACAAGAAACAAGTTACATGGAAGTGTTGATGCATCCTACATGCTGACGGCAGTTGGACAGCGTGAGGAAGACAATCTATGCTGAGCCAAGTAGTGCCATATGGAACATTATTAAGCAGGTTTTACATTGAAATAGTTTACTCTGAGCTCTGATACATAAAAAGCCAAAATTTAACAGGAATTTGTGAGGTTTAGTTGAAATTCGTCGAGGAGTCTGCCCTTGTCGCGATCTTCGACACTGCATGAAGTACAGTGTGCTACAGAACTTGTTCGTTATAAAAAAACACACAGCGACTTAACACAGCAACTTTGGCGGCATGCAGACTTCGGGCGCAATACCACCAAATCTCAGCTTTCCGTTTTAGATGGTTCTGGAAAAGGAACTGTGTCTACATTCACAGTATTTTGCATTCCTTCTAGATCTAGATATGAAGATCTAGAAGAAAGAAAGTAAGATTTCCTTATGGATAATTATTTCAAGGTCAAAAGTCAAGGGGCAGCTCCAAGAGGGCGGAAAGAGAAGGAAATAATTAGTGGCGCCCTCATACGACCACCACTACATGGAAATACCGGGATAAATCTAAAAGTGACATATTTTCCAACGCAAAATAACTGCAAAATAATAATGCCCTTGAGTTGATGCTTGTAAATCATCCTGTGAGGCCTGAGGCTGTGATCGGGACATCCAACCGAAAGGCATACCTGGCGCCACGAGAATAAGCAGCGTGAAGAGTGCCTTCTCTCGCCCGATCAGTTTCAGCGCATTGAACCGCGTGATGTACGTGAAACTGGGCGACTGGATGTCCATGCGCGTGCAGATCTCTTCCATTCGCTGTTCCTGGACAAAGGTGTTGTCTTCGGGGAATTGGATTATCCCTAGGTGGTACCTGTGTCAGATAAATACCCAATCATTGTCTATCAACAGCGGAAACAATCAATCAATCAATCATCAGTGCAGTGCATGTATCAGATCACTGTATATAGCCAGCAAGTAACTCGCTCAAGGTTTTGCACATTGTATTTTGCATTTCTGAAAAATAGCCTCCAGTCCAGGTTCGTTTTACCGTGAATTACAAATCTTACGGGGCCATCTAATCTTGCTAAGAAGAGTGGCAAGATCCAGTCTGCTTTTTAATGGATCTCCCCATAAAGTGACGGCAAAATTATTCAGTAATTAGTGAAAAGTCTACAATTACAGGATTAAAGGTAGGGGACAATAGGTACCCTAGTTCAGGGGAATTATACAAAAATTTGCTCCACGTGAAATGGCCTGTAACAATCGTGGTTTGAAAGCTCACTGCGACCCGGGTTTTAAAGTCTCGGGATCAATTTCCAGTGCAAGCGTAAGTTGAGATTGGACATCAAGCGATCGCGACAGGAGGCCACTAAACAAGAGCCAATACACAACAGTGCAAAACTGGACAAAATATGCAGAAGCCTTTTTCGAGCAGTGAATATTGGTTTAGTTCATCTTTTCCTGTAAAATTAATCTTGACATTCTTCCTGGGGTTTTCACAAGAATATGAAACACAACATTAAGCCAGCGTTGAACTAAACGCCATCCTGATGGTCATTAGCTTGCAAAAACTTTTTACAGCCAGATTCGCGTACTTAAAAATCTGGTTCGCTGTGATTTCATTCTGTCACGGCGATTTATTGCGTGAACAAAAGGCCAGTTGATATTCGAATAATGTAGAATTTAGTGGGGTTTAATGGTGTCGATAAAAATCAGTTATGACGTGTCAAGGATCGATACTGGATTTAAATGACAATGTTGCATATCATTTTTGAAAACCTTAGTACTTTAATCTTCAAATGTGTGTCATTACTAACGCCCATTGCATATCGTGACGTATATCTTCAGGAAAACCCCTACAAGAACTTTCAAAGGTTTATGTTGCACTCTATGTTGGCAACACGCGGTGAGGCGTCTCCATGTGAGACAACGGCATGCACAAGTATCGAACACTGCCTCTTTTGATCAAAATTCGAGGCCGTAGTCGCAAGAGACAGGACCGGATTATGGCCACCCGTCATGCGCTATCCAATATAATCCCATGTATTAACTATGTGAGGGATGTCATGCATGTTGTACATATAATTGTGAGTATGCTGGTGTGTAGCAACAGCGCCATCATGCGGTGGCAGAGGCATTCCTCATGTTTGCCGTCGCCTCGGCTGTTGGCCTGTCTACTACTGAAATTAAATTGGTAAATTTCACTCTTCTTGGGCTTGTAAATTTCTTGTAAATCATCGAATGGGTTTCCAGGGGAGTAGAGAAATTGTTAGACATCGTGGGAAGGGTATAAATACATTATTTAATGGGTAAATTGGGCAAATGGTTTTGTTACTTTCGAGCGGTAAAATAATGGCGGCCTTATAGCAGTGTGCTCAGACAAGTCTGGGTTGCATATACATGTATGTATACATATATCGGTATCGACGTTAATGGTGCCGAGATCAAAACTTTGAGTAGGATCTATGGTGGAGTAATTATGTGGGTTATGTAGTTTAGATCATTTGATTGAAGGAAGTTACTGGTTTCGCATAAGTGTACATTACTTGCATGTACATGTACAGGCACGTGTTGGGCAAATTGTGACATGTAAATTAATGAGACGGGCACATGCACTTGAGGATTAAGTAACATGTAAATCCCTTGCTTATTGGAGATGATTATTGCTTTAATTCTGAAATTGTTTGGAATGAATGGACTTCAATTATATTAGATTCTATCTCTAAGCTACAAAGTAATTAGAGAGTAATTTTCCCAGTACTTGAGGGATATTGATTTATCATCTTTATTCCAATGTGCATGTAATTTTAGGATTGGATAATGACAACAGGGTGAACTCTTTGTTATTTCCATCAGGAGGAAGTCCACAGTGTGAATTTAATTTTCTTGGCCATTAATCAATTTGGAAGGATGAGTAGATAAACCGTTTTTCCAGACATTTTTCAATTTCATCATTTTAGGGTCAAACTGTGCCATTTCAATACATTCAGATTATACATGTATAATTCCTGCCATTCACCTAGAAGGAACAATTAACTTAAGTTGTGTTTCTTTTTTTGTATTTCCTCATGTTTGCCGTCGCCTCTGCTGTTGGCCTGTCTACTACTGAAATTAAATAGCAATAACACCAGCAGAGATCCGAGCCCAGGGTGTTCTGGTGTGTCTGTTCATGCGTACCCCCCACCAGATAGCGCCCCTCCCACAACTACATTGATACATCGGCAGTGCCGGATGAACACACGTGATTGAGCGCTACAACTGGGTCGCTGGAACAACGGCCAAAGGTAATCGCAAGAGAAATCTACCGTAGCAACACACGCGGGAAACGATCGAAAACGTACCTCTCGGCGTTAAAGGTAAGTGCAATCTCGAAGCACGACTCTCTGAAGAGAATAAGCTGATCCTTGGCCGACAGCGACCGGAACTCCGGGACGTTCTTGAGGCAGCTGGCCATCTTGTGGATGCCGATCTCCGAGGCACACGACAGGTGCCGGCTGACGTGGAAGGGGTTGGTCAGCTCCCGGGGCTTGCCAGCCAAATTTTCCGGGGAAATGCTCAGCGGGGTGATTTTGAAGACAATGCCCGTAGGGAAAGTCACTTCCATCTCCTTCAGAGAGTTAAAAATGGGTCATTTTTGTTACATGCTGTTTTCAAAGTTTAAATAAGCAATTTTTGAGTTAGATTGAAATAAACTCTGGTACACTGAGTTAATCTGATTGCACATAAACATTACAGTTTGAATTCCCCAGACTAAAGACACTATTGCTATGTCTCGTGATTCAGGGCATGTTTATGCATGGCCACTATCTCTAGAATGGAATGGTTCCTCTGTGCCCTTCTTACCAATTGAAAAGAGTGCACTGGTGCAAAGCATCTCTTATGTAACTAGGTGTGACACGTCGGTTGTGCACCTCGAAAGAGCAAAAACCTATCTGATCCCAAAACATTTCTGAAAGCTCTCAGATCCAACGGCGAAGCTCACAACGGCCAGAGATTCCATTGCCACGTCTACTTGCAATGTCTAATCTCGACCGCAAACTAACGTACCTGCGATGGTCGTGTACCTTGTGTAGTGGGCGTGGTTTAAACTGAAGTGGCGTCACACTTACGAACCAGATACTCCCTGTACTGTGTCGACTCCGGCGGGCGCGCGCGAGGAAGATCAACACAGAGAGCCTCGGTTTCGATGCAGATATCCGCAGACGGCTCTAATCTTAAATCCCTCTATAAGGCTGTTTTCCAATACTCAACTTTGTCTCCGTCTCAGGCTTCGTTCCCAAAACCAATCCCCGATTGTGGGCCTGAAGCGTTTAAATTACATTGAATTACTGTAATGTTTTGGCTTTCTTGCATCTTATTTTATGTTCTGTGGCACTATTAGACTGATTACTTATTGTTCACGTGAATTTAAAGAACTCAGTGTACCAGATTTAAGTTAAATTTAACTTGTAAAAAGCTTATTTTGTTTACAAAGGGGGTCACGCGTCCAATCTGACAAACTTAGAGGCGGTATCATTGAAATCGCATAAGGCATAACACGTGGGACGGAGAGAACCCCCCCCGGCCTTTGTGTTGGTCATTGGTTGATCGGAATCTCAGGAATTCTTTACAGACTTCTAGGGGGGATGTGTTAGGTAACAATAGTCTAGAGTGTGTATAGGGATTGGACAGGTAACGGGGGGTACCCCCTCCGTCCCATATCTTGCCTGGTATAGTCGGTCGTGCACCTCAACAGAGCAAAACCAAAACAGAAATGGGTGTATTATATGGCTGCCTCCGAATTGACTAGAGCTGGACATAACACCAATGGCAGCCCCCGCCCTCGTGGCAATAGCCACGTCCCGTATAAAACGGTGTGCCATTGCCAGCCGATTTTCAGACACGGCCTTAATATGCTAGTTCCGATTAATTCGCTTTTCCAAATCCAATGCGCACATCTCAGTCTAAACTAGATCGTCGAGGAAAATCTGCCTACTGACTGCATACCTGGTTGACATACATACGGAAGCCTTCAATCTCCTTGTCGGATTTTTCCCCCTCGAAGTGTCTGGCATAGTTCTCGTACACCCGCTCCACAAAGAGCCGGTGCTCGCGCTCCTCCTCGGTCTCGCTGAGTATCAGGTTTTCCCGGACGTGTTCCATCTCGTGCAGGAGTTTCTCCTTCTCAGCCCGCGGGACGCGCCCCATGCGAACGGCTTGGGAACACAGAACGAGACTCTTTAAAGAATCGATCGGCTACCTCGCTTTAGTTACACAAATAAAACAGCCTCTGAAACGTTTCTGTCTTACTTAATAGTGGTCATTGCTTTGTCGTATAGATTTTTTTTCACGTATGGCATACAAGATACTTAGAAAAAAAAGATACAGTTTGGATGAAAGATTTCGTTTTCTTCAACTGTTAGAAGTATTATACACACAGGCCGATATGTTTGCCTGTAAAATTTTGTTACAAAGCACCAGTAGATGTAATAACGTAACTTGTGCCCATATGCGAGGCTATTTTCCCGAAACATAAGCCAACAATCATTGCGATGCCTCATCACTGCCATGTTTTCACGACGAGAGAGAACTCGGCTAATTACTTCCCAGTGTTTGGTTGAAGATAATTACATGCTTTATTTAGGATCTGCGCAGAACACCATATAGACTGTTTTTAATTTCTGAGTGGACATCGAAGACCAACTTTCTCCAATTGCCTGAACGATAAATGCAAAACGGTTAAAAAGCTTCCAAGAAGCGAGTGGGGCTATGCTTAATAGGTCTAAATGGTAGATTCAAATGTCAGACGGATCTCCGCCCATTGCCTGTTGACAAACTTTTATACATGTACCTCCAAATTAAAGAGCAACTTCCTAGACAACATTGGGGCCAACACACACACCCCAAACACTCACCTCCTGTTGACATTCCAAGTTGAAGGCATTTTTGGAAGCGACAATACTGGCATTTATTGCGCGATTTGATAGTGATGTCGCACGGTTTGGTTTCCCAAAGTGGACAAGGTTTGTACTCCAGCTTCATCCGCTGTGTCCGACGGAAGAACCCCTGCACAAATCAATCCAACAAGACAGATAACAACTCAACCCGAAACACAAAATGGCCTCTCACTCCTTTTCTTCTGCTTGAATTTAGCGAAAAGGTTTCTATAAAACTTACACGCCACGGTAACATCCAAACACGGACAGGCCCAGCCCACAAAAAGTCAACAATGTCATGCAGTCTTAAGCGTTTTGTCTACAGGAAGATAGGTTAACACGACATCCGTATAACACTGTTCGTGCCCTGTTACGAGGATGTAACGCTGACATGCCGTCAAGTGAAGAGAAAATTTCAGCTTTTAGGGCCATGATAAAGTTTGTTTCTGTGACTCGGGTCTGTTACAACAGAAGAAAATGACGTAAGTAGCCTTTTGAAAGCCTCAATGCAGTGTTCAAGCACAAGAGGGCGCACTATAAAGTGGCACGCGAGGGAAGGTTTCAGTGACTAAACTTGGATAAAGACAGTTCGACCAACGTCACTTGAACGATGGATGAGAGGGCACCTTGGTATCGCTGGGTTACTATAATAGCCCCTTTCAGTACACCAAGAACCACTGACGTGAAAATAATTGTGCAATAGAATCAAAATGGGATTTCCAAAAAAAAATTAGACTACGGTCGTTCGAGTGGCATTGTACTGCACTTGCGCAATGGTAAACTGAGAATCGGTCGACCTGAAGTCGTAGCTCGAACTTGAATTTGTCCCTGAGTTGAGATGACATCCAAATCTGCGACCGGCAATTGAAAATGCATGAATCCCATGGAAATAAAGGGCTAGTAGCTATTTTCTATCGATACGTGTATTGTTCCAAAAATATTAGATTTGGGGGTTTGTTTTATTTCGTTTTGGTTTCTTTGGGGGCGGGTTCAATTCATGCAGTTTCGGCGAGAATTTCATATGACCAGGTATGTTGACTTTCAACCAGTCTATTTTTTTTTCTCAACAAATATACTAATCGGACCCCAATGGCGCTCGTGATGTTTACAAAGCAATGATAATAGTCGATGGGCGCCCTTTGGTCGACTATGCCACATCAAAAGTGCCCTTTGATCTTCTGTGTTGAGGCAAATTTAATGCACGGCAAAATTATAATGAGCGTGTGTATAGCCATCGACATTTTCCGCGCCGCACTTCGAATCTTTCTAATTTTTCATCTTTAGTTCTGTTCCAAACAAAACAATCTGAGCACACATGCGGAGTGCCTGAACTGAGACATGACGTCTCACGTTAAAAATGTTCTATGGTTTCCAGTGAGCGTTACTCTGTAGTTACTAACTAAGCTAGTCGGCCTATACGCGAGACAAAACTGTCAAGACCAAATCCTGCACCCGCAAATGACTATGTCCAGGCCACAAATATTTCCAAGATAATTTACCTTGCATCCTTCGCAAGAATAGACACCATAGTGCATCCCGGAGGCCTTGTCGCCGCATATTTGACAGCGAATGATTTCTGAAAATCAAACAGGATCATTTCATCAGCATCAACAACACCAACCCCAAACACTGTGAAAAGTTTGATTTCAAACAGAAAGACTGCAGTCCCTAGCTGAGGACAGAAGATCTTTATGTCGATATAACTCAACTTTTGCTTGCGTATGATTTGAAATGTCTTGTGTAAACAGATTCAGAAAATGCTTCCGAAGTCAATTCTTACAAGGACACAATGTAAGAGTTTCAACTTTCTGACAGTCCAGGTACAATAGCATTAGCACTAGGTCTGAGCTGAATACACGAATACTCGAATATTTGATTTCATTTCAGGTTGAACATTCGATACTCAATTATCCGACCTGACTTAGCCACAATTAGCATGTACATGTACATTCTTCGTACAAATTTACTCCATCGCAACATCCTCACAAAATAGTGCTCTTATATTTAAACATCCTTCTCCCTGTTTTCTCCACAGGGCAAAAAATCATTCCGAATAAAAAAAATCACTCGTTAAGCCAAGATTTCACTCCATCCACCGTTGGAGTGAAGTGTTTTGAAACTTTCTAGCGTATGCACTCTTTGGAAGGTCGGTTTCTGAACAAGACCATCCTGGTCTATACACAGCAATACTGCAGTCTCTGCAGTGTATTACTAAATGCCCTACTCAGAGGTAGTTTGTATATTAAAGCAAGAGACAATCGCGACAGGGTGTTAATCATAATCGCTACAGTAACGGCAATGCGTCATGGTAGTTCTTCTGGGAAAATGTGCCCCTGTTGATACGTTATACGCGGCGCAGTGACGTCAGACACAAGCAACACATGTACACACATCGGTAAGGGCTTGCATATGAGCGATATTTCACTATGATACTGTACACGATATTGAATATGAGCATACAACAATTTCCTCGTTCGCCACTGAGTCAACCACTTTGGATTGAAGTCCAAAATATGGCATGAAGTAGAAACTCATACAAGCCATTTTCCGATGAGTAATTAAATCAACAAAGCACTGCGATGCAGATCAAACTTGAAAAAGTGGTTCGGGAAAAAACTCATTTTCTATTTGGCATTCTATTTTCTACGAAATGGATGCTGGCTGAATATTACATACCAGGACACAAAAACACGTGTACAGCCTGTAAGAAACAAAAACGTATACAGGAAAAAAGGAAGCCACATTTTGCTAATCATTTGCATTAAAGCGACACAATAACCTGTGTCTTCTCAAATGATCGGGAAGTTTCTGTTTTGCGGGGTGTCACACAAAACTGATGTACTGACCAGATTATTTAAGAATATGGAACATCACGGCGCAACATAATGAAAGCTACAATATGTTCAGCGCGTATGTACACTACCTTTGCATTTTTTTTACTGGGCTGGACTGATAAAATAAGTACAATAATTTACTTGACTTGAAAATGCACATGAATTCTGTGGCCCCATGCATGAACCTGATATGCCACACAGACAAGAAACTGAGAAAAATCTAGTTAAACTTTTTGCTTCTTGGGATTTTCTATTAAGTCAGAATAATACCGCCCTCTATATTTCAAAAATAGGCCACCCTAGCTCTTGATATTTTTAGCAAATAAAGATATGACATTACTCTACACATTCATGCATCTAACTCAAAAAGTTTCAAAATATGGCATATCAGGTTCATGCATGGGGCCACAGAATTACCGAAGAACAAATTACTAACCTAAATTTCTGGTCAACACTATTGGGTATAAATGACACAGACGTATATCCGCGGCTATACTAGCCGAGCTAGACAGTTGTAAGTGCGAGTGTAACAAGCAACCTTTAAACGCACCTATGCTAGTACTTTTCTAAACCTACGAGTAGTCAAACATTAAACTCAAATCCTGGCTTAAGTTTGAAAAAGATGACTTATGCCGGGGTGACTCACCACTGTAATTGAATGTCTTATTTGCTTCGTCCGAGGAATCATCTGAGTTGGATCCTAGTGTCTCCGAACCCGACGGGTACGGGCTGCCATCGTCAAAGTCGCTCTTGAGTCGCTTCTTCGAAGGCCCCTCCCTCAGTAGGTATCTCTTGAACCGAGAGGCGACCAGCGTGTCTGCCTCCTTCCTCCTACAGTCGTCGATGGTGACGGACATTATTGCAGATTGAGTGACAAGTTGTCACTAAAGGGAGGGTTGAAAGAGACTGTTAAAGCACAGCTAGCCAGGCCGACAATGGAGTCAATACGTGCATAAGCACACGGGGCATTGTTTTTTTTTTCTACAAAACGTAACGTTGCGCATGACGTCAACTTTCGCCGAATTCTTTGTTTCTCTTCTCCACTGTGCTTCGGATGTTGGTGGGTTTTAAAATGATGCAGTTTCGCAATTCCATGGGAAAGTGGACATGACACTAAAATTTCAAGTTTAATCACACTGCAAAGAAAGTAGCAATTATGCATTGTTTCATATGTTGAAGTTAAAGGAAAAAAACAATATCAATCGGTTGAATATTTCGCAAAATACAGTTATAAACGCTGAAGAGATTTTTTAGTCATCCAAACTGCTAAAATATAGGCTTAACTGAATTTGTATTTCTGAAATTGGAAATAAAATACTAGCATTTCCATTAATTCACTTTAGAGAAGTAAATTGGGTCTACTTCAATCTCTTGAAAGGAATTTCCACACCACCTTCCAAAATATTTCATCACTTCACAAAGAATTAAGCATTTCAGTCATGTAGTGCGAGTTACCAAAACAATACATTTTTTTCATTCTGAAGAAATTATTAGAGGTAATTTGTTGGCTTTGATAATTTTCTTCACTTATCACGCCTTGATTCTCTAAGCAAGATGTTTGCCAAAATAAACAGTGTCATCAGTTTTAAAAATGTCATCAAAAAGTGTAACGCGAGTTATATCATCTACAAACGCAAGATTCCACCGGTATGAGCAATTTCAGACCCTTAACTGGGCTTGGGTGTGCAGAACACACTCACATGCAATGTTATGCAGACTGTGAGGCACTGAAACAATAGAGGGCAGCCTAAATGAACTCTGCCTATTGCGCAATATCAGCATGAACACATGCCACATTCTCCGGGCTTTCACTTTCAGTTTTTGCTCCAATAAAACCCAATGTTTATCATCTGAATTACTGTTCCAGCATCAAGATAAAAGAGAGTGATTGTAGTTTATTAATTTGTACATATGATCCTTGAAAAGAAAGAAAAGACCGAAATATTTATAATAGTCCTAGGCCTACATGTATGTCAAATAAATGTCAATGGTACAAGTATACATTTCCTCTTATTGTACTTCAGACCTTAATATTTATAGTGACTTCACTGCGCACTGCAAGCAATGATTTTTTCAATCCTACATGCTAGTATGCTGACACAACCATGTAAATTAACACTCTGAATGTATGCTATCATGAAGCTACGCATGTACATGTAGGACGCCACTTGTGGTCCCTGACTCCCCCCTATACAAAAGACATTAGATCTATTCAAATTATGACTTGCAACAATCTATGCAATGCCAGAGCTGTACTTAGGACTTATACGTTCTTTTATTACAACTGTGAATAAATGAAGTCAAATAATGTTGTTTTTTTATTTTATTTAATTTAATTTAATTTTTATATTAAATTTTTAAGTCTAACTTGCTTTAATCTTCCCAAACATAAACTGAACCTCGGGTGGAATTTAAAAAATAAAACTAAATTTACTGTAAAGATATTTTGTTTCATTTCCCACAGAAAGACAACATGCCTCCAACATCTGCTGAGAAGCAAAACCAATACAGACAATGCCTAAAAGCTACTGGTCAGTAACGATGAATTCAAAGAACGCCAGGAAGTGGCTTCCAAGAAATGTCGTGACCTTTTTTTTTTCTTTTTACAATATAGGTTTATAAATAACATAATTGTTCTAGATGTATTCATTTTATTATTTCCAAAAGTGTGCATCTGTAAAAAAAAAAATACTGAATATAAGATGCAGAGCTATCCAAAGAGGTATGTGCCATCAATTTGTGCCAGACTGTTTGAATGGACATAATGTAACGCGAGTTACCGACATATGCTCTCTGAATTTACCTATTTATTGTCAACTTTGACATGGTTAACTTGCAAGTCATAACCCATTGTCAATTCAAGGTAGGAAAAGTCTTATCCAGATTGCCTAGTATGAGGAGACTTTACAAAAGAGGCTTTCACAGAATTCACCATGTCCTTTTTTCGTAATGCGAGTTACCGAAATTAAACGATTCCAGAATCTCAAAATGTTTGTCCTTTTTTCTAAATTCATTTAGTTGGTCAATGTCTACTCTACCACAGTGACAAAAAGAAACTTGTAGTTGCTAACAATTACAGAGATATACATGTAGTAATTTTTCTCATCAGTCCCCCAGTTTTGCTCTTAAAATCTCCCCTCCATTGTCTGCAACTCTGAAACCCGCAGTGCATGTCATAGGGACTGATTTTTGTATACCGACTTTCAACGGTCTATCATCGTCAGATTATAAACATTCTCTGTAAATCGACGATTTTAATGATTCACCGACCCTTTGCAAGTAATCTCAGAAAGGCAAACCTTGATTCTCGTATCTAATTACCGAGACAGAAAGTGCAATCTGTGTTCTTATTCCTCCGTGCTTACACCAAGTCCATTGAGGATGTCGAGTTCCATCCGAGAGAATACGCATATTTAACAATTCCCATCTAATCACCGTTTTCAGAATTTAATTATATATACGTTCATGGGGTTAGCCCTCTGCAGTTTGTCAGGTTATGATCATAAATGTATTTAACTCTTGAAATTGTTACTTTAAAACAAATCCACTTCTTCGGAGAGAAGTTAGTATTACATCTTAAAATTCTTCCTTACGTCAATACCCATCATCTGTAGTAGTTATTAATCTGTTTTATTAGCCGTGAAAATCCACATGTTGATTTTACTTGTTAACCATAGTGTACTATTTTTTACAGGGTTCAAGGAACAAGCCAATTTTGGACATTTCGAGGGGATAAATATCTTTTTAAACAAGCTATCGATTAAAGTGGACCCACCACAGTGATACCAAATTTATCAGACAAGCAACATCGTGCAATTGAAACTCACATTTTACACGAGTACTCGAAATGGGACTAGAAAGATACTGTGGGACTGTGCATGTGCTACATACGCACTTTAAAAAAAAATAACGGGAAGTCCTCTCTTGTGCATTACAGATTATAATTCGAAATATACTGTCGCAACTGCTACACTCAGGTAGTTTTACTGTAAATATACTCTCTCAATGCAAAAGAGTGAAAATCTTACTCTCCAAAAGGAGCGAGTCTCGTATAAAACCTCCCCAAAAGAGTGGAACCAACCTAAAACAAAAAAGTTCAAAATAAAACACTCCGAAAGAGTGAAGTTTCCACTTTTTTAAGGAGGCACATGGGAAACAATTCCATCAAAGGATTGTCCTTCACATGGTTCTTGACTTGGAGTGATTTTCAAGCTGTCAGAAGTGGTTTCACTCTATGTGGCTTTCGCTCTGAACTTGAAATGGTTTTAAATGGGTCTCGTTCTTTTGGAGAGTGAGTTTTTCAATCTTTTGCCTTTAAACTACTAGAGAATACAAAACACACCCTAACTCCGTTTAGCGAAGCCAAAATGTGTAAAAAAATAAAATACAGGTTGGTCAATTCGTTGTTAGTTTTTGCCATCCAGTGTCAATCTGAAACAGTTCTTTCACAAAACAGTAAGGTTTTTTATGTGACTTGTTTGCATAGCAGATTGGAATGGGTCGATACCAATGGTCAGCTTTAAATAGAGCTAGTACAATGGCCTTTGTTCGTTGTCAAGATCAGTTATTTACAAGCAAGCCACAATCACTTCATATGCACTCCCATTTACTCGAGTTCGCACCCCTGGAGGCCGGAAGGCTAAATAATTATGCAGAGCCCCGAGTTTGAGCCCTTTGTCGACTTATCGAAAGGTGTAGTTCAAAGTTGTGAAACACAGGGTCTGAATATAAACATGACCTATGGTTGTGATATACAATCGAACATGTGCCTTTGAAAGAATACATGTGCCTCTGTTTAGAACAATAAAATTGCTCAATCCCTCTGGTAGAGAGCATGAGATGTATAAGCCATACCATGTCCCTGGATCGTGAACAATCAGTTACAAACAGTTCGTCCCTGCATATCATGCGTATTCACTATGCTCATAACACAAAATGTAGCCTACCTGGTCACGACTCACTGTGCCTGCGAGTCACATAAACATGGCTTCACCGTTCATACTAACTGACTGGGCATAAATTCGGATTGCTAACCGAGGCAAGGTGTGGGGGCAAGGGCTGGTGAAGTTCGAGAGACAACGTAAAATCCAAAGTACAGCTTAACGCCATTCAACGTCAGAGGTGGAAAATCACAACATCGTGCGCTTGTGTTATAACCACGCACTTACGAGTAATGCACTTTACACAATAAGTACTGTACATGTACGCACCCTCAACTTCCCCGTACTGCCTTCTCCATGCAGAGCGCTGCCAGGAGTTTGATAATTTCGTCTGTTTGCTTTCCAACACGACCCGAAGTTAACCTATGGACCTTCACATTTTGACCCGGAATACAGTGGCACGAGATATCTTGAGTTCAATCCAGTTCGCTGTAACCTGCTTACACGCAGCCCATTATACAAAACGTTACAAACCGTGCTCCGGCTGAATCAATGACTACGCGTGGAATGTCATCGTCATCGGAAATTTTCGACGAATAGGGCAAGGGACAGCCGTGGCCAGGGGGTCACAGGATCGCGGGTTTGCTCATTCATTCTCTGACCCTAAAATGACGAATCAGGCCTTCTCTATGGAAACTGCAAGAGCCAACGGAAACAAACCGGGACGCATGTACATGTACATACGGAACGCCGAATGTACCAAAATATGATGTTACTCTGTGAAAGTAGTTTGATCGTGTCCTCAATCTATTATGTGATGTTGTCAAACCATTATGTGATGTCAATCCATT